CCTTTTTTGTATCATTTATCGGTACTCATTTGAAACGCTTATTTGAGCTTGTTACTGTTAAATGCGTCTTGCAGACTTTTGTAGGGCCATTGCTTACTCAAGTGACTTTGTTATCTGCCAGGAACGTAACACGTTGCTGAGTTCGGTTTTGGAGGAGTAATGTTCTTAGCATACCCCAGCGCATGAACCCGTATGGTATTGAAAAGGGGTGTAGGGTCAGGTTTCATAATAATGTGCTAATAAACGCTTTATTCCTCCAAAGCTTCATATCTCAAATACAGCGAGTTCCTTAAGATTGTTGTTAGATTAGAGGATTATTGTTGCTGAATAGGCTGATCCAGGATTGCTACGGCAACAACTCGTACCTTTACATCGTCTGACTCGATCGAACGTTCTCGACGTTGTATTTATGGCCATCATGTCTTCAAGTGACGTTACCCATCGACGAGCATATGGCTTTTGTAGGTTTCGTGGTTTTCTTAGCCCAGTGGTTCCTGGTCAGATGAAATCAGCAATCAGACATTCATTGACTAGATGCATTGCAAGTGCTGCAGTCGTTTTGTGTATGAACGAACGTCATTGACACTGTCGTGAAACAACGCTGTTCGTCGTTCGGAAATCGTCGCTGTTTATTCAAGAAATATTGTTGGGAATTCAATGCGCTGAACGATGTGTTCCACCGTTTCCTCAAGGTCGACGTTCACAACAGCGAGTGCTGTTATTCTACGTTTCGTTATACTAATGTCAATTTGAGGAACCGATTTTCTGAGGAAGATGCCTGCTGTTCTCTTTTCTGTATACGACGCGATGTCGTTTTCTTATCGGCCTGTCGTTCCTCCTCAGGAACCAGTTTGCAACGCACAGCAACTCGCACACCATAGAGTATAGCCGAAACCTAGCAACTTGTCATTTCGTCTTTCGGTGCCACTCATCTGTTTATTCAACACAAATATCTGACCGAGCTGGTGGTGTTCGCATGTTCTCCTGATCGACGAAAGCCGTTCACCCGATGTCCGCTGAAATAGGGGCGGTGTTTGAGGAATCGCTGCTGAATGATGACGACGAAGGTCAGAGCATGTTTTGTATAAAATGGTTATGGATATATATGATCTTAGGGTAGGCTGATTTCCTTTTCTAAATCTCAGCATTCCAGGCACTTCTTTGAAGCAAGTATACTCCAAATTAAGAGTCCAGTGCCTAGTCGTTTTGGATTATTACTTGCAAAACAAAATGCTTTTGCTGGTGTAAGGCGAGTAATAGATTTTTCTTTCTTTACACTGTATTTTCGTCATTTCAACCCGATATCATTAATTGCAATATAAATTCGTTTTTTCTTCAATTTTTACGACTATTCAGTTCTGACGAGAAGCGATTATCAATATTGTTTGCTCAACCTCTTTTGTGCTGATCCTTAAGTTTTTTCTCAACATATTCGAATACGTTGATTTGTTTTTAAGTTCATGATGTGCACATCTACAAAAATATGTTATTCCTAACGCAAATTAACCAAATGCATTTTCGAATGATGATTGATGTCTGATCTTCAAGCTAAACGATCAGTTTCAATAAATTTTTATCTCCATCGCTCAATTATTTATTTTAATTTTTTATTCGTGGATATCCCACCATCATTAGTAAATACAAAAAAGAATTAATAGCAAGACTATGACGCACAAGCCGAATCTTCTGCTTCCGATCGTAGATCTGACGTCAAAATGCTCAGGCAACCAGTTGTTCGAAATCTGACGCAAGAACACAAAAGGAAAAGAAACGTTTGTCATCGTTCGAATGCCGGTGTTCCTTCCATTTCATGATTGGACCATTCTGCACCCTTCTTTCCATAAAGCAGTTCGTAGTGCTGTTCTGATCTCCCTGCTGGACTATGCCATCAATCAGGTATGCCGCATTTTACGGGCAGAGTCTGCAACCACGTGACAAGCTTACTGTTTAGCTTTCTACCCTCTTCCCACGGAATGGTACTCATTTGTCAACCTCTGTAAGAAGAAGGGCCACTGACTCAAACAGGGCCTTGAACTCGGGTCCTTTGAGGTTCTGAATTCGATGCTCTACCGATTGAGCAACCGCGGTCTTTAAAGGACATGCACGACAGTTTGAAACTCTGTTTATATCAGTTGATTCTAAAGGCGCACTTTTTCGCTGTGCCTTAATTCTATATGTGATGCCATATTTTATTAATTAACAGTTTTAGCACTTATTTCCAAGAACACAGCATATACCAAATATTCAAGAGATATAATTTTCAGATTATCCTCACTAATGGTGTTTTCGTTCATCTTCGTTCTCTCTCCTGTTTAAAAGCGCAGTGTTGCAGTTAAGCACTTTAGCTGGAAAACCACCGATTTCAGTTTCCGGTACCTTGTGTGCTTTTGAAATACCACTGCTGTGGTTTGTAGAGTGAACTTGGGCACAGTGGAAATAGGTCATAGTTTAAGCTTTTAACGTGCCGGATTCGATTACGTAGGAGGGACAGTCTTCATCCCTTAACGGCAAATTGCCCCAAGGAATCTTTCCCTCGTTGTTTCGATGCAACCAGCCGAGAATCGGGTAGCAAGTCGTTGAACAACTTGCGGACTGCCGGCGAGCATGGTATTCTGGTGCAGCCGTAACCGAATCGGCGAGAGGTGCAGCCACGCTGAGTGATCCGAGCGCCTCATAGGGCTGCAATTGGTTTTGAACCACCTCACATTGAAACTTACCTTAACCAAGCAATGCCTTGATGAATTGTACAG